GTAAATGGCCATGCTGAGCCCGTGGTGGCGGTCCTTCAGCAGCCTCGGCGCCAAGAAGAGCTGGACCTCCATGGCCACGACGATCGCAGGGTACTTGACCTCCACCGCCAGCTCCATCAGCAGCACGAGGCTGATGGTGTCGTAGAAGGTCTGCAGGTCAAGCAGCAGGGTGCCCGAGGCCGTGAGCAGCTCCCTGCCGACCTCGTCCAGCACCGCCCTGTACAGGGCAGCGCGCAGGGAGGAGCTGCCCTTGATCGCCCCGTCCCAGAAGGCGCCCAGCTCCTCCGTCCAGGTCCAGACGATGGCACCTCGAGCCTTGCTCCAGGCCTTGGGCAGCAGCGGGATCATGCCCAACACTCGGTCGCCGCCCGCAGGCTTGGGCACGGCCGCCGCCAGTACCGCCATGCACTGCCGCGGCCAGCATCCCTCCTGCTCGCACTCGTTGGCCAGGTCGGTCAGGTCCCGCTTGGCCGCCTCGGGCAGGCGGTCCACGTCAAGAGAGCTCAGGACGTCCACCCCCCCCGCCTTCGTGCCGCCAATGGACCGCAGGGCAGTGGTGAACTCCTCCAGCTCCAGCGGCGGGTAGTCCTCCTCCCTGGCCACCTCCAGTGTCCTGATCAGCTGGAGCCTGAGATTCTCATCTACCCCCCGGCAAGTCCAGGATTTTCCGGAAAATTCCTGGACTTCCCTGCCGGTGTCGGTGCGCCCCGTGAAGCTGCAGGTGTCCTGCCAGAGGGCGCCCCACTTCTCGGCCCTCTTGTCCATGATCTGGCTCGGCTGCGAGAGTAGCTCCACGCGCCCTGGCCCTTCCACCACCAACTCGTTGACGATCGGCCTGTCGGGCTTCACATGCTGGTGGAGCAGGCCCGCGTGCTCGCGCCACGCCGTCTTGGCCCACTTGGTGAAGGCCCGACGTGACTCGCCAAGCGCCCTCGCCTGGCCTCTCGCCGCCAACTGGTCAGTCGTCTCCTGCAGCTGCTCCCGCGCGGGCCGGTTGAGGGCCCTGATGGCCTGGACCTGTTCGCACCACATGTCCATGCAGCCGTCATCGCCGAAGAAGCTCAGCAGGCCCTGGCCCTTGAGCTCCGTCACGAGGCCGCTCAACCGCGCCGCCACACAGACCCGCTGCTGCTCATTCTTCTTGCTACACATCAGGCTGTGGTAGCGTTGCACCAGCGTGGCGCAGAAGCTCATCTTCTCCGCCTTGTGACATCGCATGTGCGCCCTGCCCGGGGTAGAACGAACCCTCTTCCACGCCACCGCGTAGCCTCGGGCCCGCCCTCTGTACGCCGAGCGCTCAGCCTCGCATACCTCGTGCTGGTTCAGGACGGCCTCCTCCACCCTGCTCACCCAGTCCCCGTACCGCTGCGACAGGCGCTGCTCCTGCACCCCAGGCCGCTGGTACGCCAGGTGATCGTCCATGGCCGCCGTCTCCGCCAGGTAGGGCTCGGGCTCCCGCGGCAGCACCGCATTCCACTGCCCCGCGGTGATCGCAAACGGCACCGTCGGTGCCGCTGGGGCTGCGTCCTCCTCCTCCTCATGGAGCTCGGTGAACGCCTCCCGGAGCACCTCTGGGAGCCTGGCACGCCGCTCCTCCAAGCGGCGCTGCTTCATTCTGCTCGTCTTGCTGTCCGGGTCCGCTGCGCGCCTGGGCCGCTGCGCGCGGGGCAGCCCCCTCGGCACCACCTGCGCGCGGGCCCACCACTGCTCGCTGGAGCCCTTCAAGGTGATGTCCAACCCGCAATGGACACGCCACGGCACCTCCAAGAACGCCCTCACCTCCACGCTCTGCACGAAGTCGGACCTGACCAAGCAGTAGTCGATCAGCGAGCCCGCGCCCTTGGAGCACGTCACAGTGGTGTGCCGGGGCGTCACCACCGTGCCCCCAACCTTGGTGGGGAACCCCATCGCCACCAGCTGCTGCGGCTCCAGGTTCCAGTCAGCCGCCACGACCCACGGGTCCTCAATGGCCGCCAGGAACGCCGCCAGCGACGCCAGCTTGCCCTGGTTGGGCGACCCTGGGCCCCACCGCGGCACCATGTACGCCGAGACCATCACGCAGTTGCCCGCCTTCGCGTGCAGCGTCATCGCCGAGAAGCCTCTGAAGGGGTCCTCTCCCCCCCTCAGTCTCGCCGCTGCTCTAACGTGGTCGAAGGTGGATGCCGCCAAGCTGCGGCGGGTCGCCACCAGCTCACCTCCGCTGCAGCCCTCAGCGCTCTTCCCTGTCGCCAGGGCCGCCGTGTGGCTGCACTTCCAGCCGTCCTTGTCCAGGTCGCTGAGGAGCTTCCCTTGGCCAGCGGCCGCGACGTGCGTCTCGCACATCGCCGCCACTGCGAACTCGCCCTTCTTGTGGTTCAACTCGTTCAGGAACTTGTGGGCCTGAGGCCCCCACTTCTCCACATTCGCGAAGAAGATGTGGCGCGAGTCGCGCTCATCAAACATGCGGCCGCGGCGGCTTCCTGGCCCCGCCAGCGCCACTTGGCTTAGCAGCAGCAGCCCCAGGAGCAGCGGCGCCAGCCCCCTTGCCGCCGCCCTTGACCACTTCCGCCGCAGTGCGCGCGCGCAGCTCGTCCAGCTTCGCCTGGCGCTGCGTGAGCTCCTCCTGGGAGGCGGGTGGGGCGGCAGCGGCCTCGGGGGCGTCCGCCGCCTCTGGGGGGCCAGACGCGCCCGCCCCTCCGCCAGAGCCGGAGTGCGCCGTGGCCGCCGTCGCGCCGGGCCCGGCCTCGGCGCCCCCAGCGTCGCCCACCTTCCTCTTCTTCGTGAGCTGCGGCAGACGGCAGCGCAGCTGCGAGGCCTTCTCCAGTAGGTCCTTCTGGTGGGCCTCCGCCTGCTGGTAGAGCCGCTCGGAGGCCTCTCGATGCTGCTGCTCCGCTGCCGCGCGCTGCTGCTCCGCTTCGCGCCCCTGCCTCTGGATCTCCAGCAGGGTCGCGCGGAACTGGGCCACCTCCTCCTTGATGGGCCCGTCCTCGTAGTCGTCGAGCTCGCACAGCGCGTCCGCACACTCGAAGTCCAGCACCGACTGCTGCGGCTCCGCAGCAGGCTCGGCCTCCTTCTTCTTCGCCACGCCCTCGTACTGCGTCTTCGTGGCCTTCTCCATCGCCAGCTGGGCGTCCAGCGCCGCCACGAGCGCGTCCTCTCGACGCAGCTCCGCGGCAGCCCTGACCTCCTCAGCCTGCTGGAGCTCAGCCTCCGCCGCGAAGAGGGCATTCTGCGCCTTCGTGTGCCAGTGCTGCGCCGACGACATGAGCTGCCAGGTCGACTTGGGCGGGGCAGCCGGCGGGGGCTTCTCGTGCTTCTTGGCGAGCGCCGCCATCTCCTGGCCCATCTCGGGGATCTCCTTGCGCAGCAGCGCGAGCGCTGCCTCAACGCCACCGTCGAGGCTCGCCTCCCCTGGCGTGGGGCCCCACGTGTCCCCACCCGTTGACCACCACGGCGGAGTCGACCGCGTCCACGCCTTGTGGCCTGCGCTCGGGAGCCCGATCCACTTCCCGCAGGCGCCGCACCAGCCTTTCGCCTTCTCCAGCTTGTCTTCCCAGACCCACTTGCCGCAGCTGCCGCAGCACGCGTAGCGCCCGCTCTTCTGACCATTCCTCCCCATCGAGAATGCAGAACAGGCGAAAGCGAGAAAGCGGCGCTACACACTGGTGCAGCGCTCCTCACCAGGGGCGAACCTGGAGGAGAGTCTGGAGACGAGCCGCGGTCTAGCGGTATCCCTTTGGCCTGGAGGCTTGCAGCCTCCCCAGCAAACATCTTGAGCCAAAATGGCTACGGAGGAGGAGGAGGAGGAGGAGGAGGAGGAGGAGGAGGAGGAGGAGGGGGGGGCTGTCGGCCCCCGCTTTGGGGGAGGGAAGGGCTCGGAGCTGCCCGGCTCGCGCGCGCCGGGCCCCTGCCCGCACGCGCTGGGCCCCCGGCGGCTCGCGAGCGCGGCCCCAGCGCCCATGGGGCGCGAGGGGGTGAGAGAACCACAGGCCGAAGGTCCGGTCTCAGCGACCCGAGCTCGCCCCTCGGCGTTCGCTGGTGCCGCGGAGGCTTCGGCGCAGGCTGGTCTGACGGCGGGGCACCCGGACGTCAGCTCGGGAGAGCCCGTGATCGACTCGATAGGCCGGATCGGCGGTCGGAAGGAATCGGATCGGGGGAGATCTGGCCATCGCTCGGACGTCCACTCCCTGTGTTTTTTTTGGTTTCGTGCGTGGTTTTTCGCCAAATGATGAAGGATGCTCCTCGATGGTGCTCGCCGAAGGAAAAATGCACACGTCCGAGCGATGCCAAGAGATGGGCAGCCCAGTCGGGAGACGTCGGATCGGCGAACAGCGGCAGGCCAAGAAGGCCTCCAAGGAGACATGGGCATCCAAGGCGGAAATTCCGACGTCGAAGCACTTCGGCATCGGGAGCCATCGAAATCGCATCGAGGCGCATCGGAGGTGTCGAAATGAGCCCTGCGAACTCCTCCAAGGCCATTAGTATTAGAAACAGCCGGGCCTTTGCAAGGGGCTCGACAATGAGGGATGGCAGCATGCAGACGGCCAGTTCAGGGCTCGGGAACACCACATATTGGTCCGCCTCGCCATGGCCCCCAATGATCTTGCGCGAGCTCTGGGGACGGAAGGCCAAGCCGACCTTCGACATAAAACAAATCGATCCCTCCTCCCACCGCGGTGTAAGTTGAGAGCCGTTCTGAGGAAACGCAAGGCGTTCGAGGAGAGAAAGGCGACGACCGTGCGAGCAACCAGACACACGGCCGATCCACTGATGCGCGTCATGTACTGCGTGCTCGCTTTTTGTCCAGGCAAGCCCTGCCCACCTGAAGGATCACTGAGATGCGAAATTTGGATCTACGCTGCATGCTGATACCGCGAGGAACTGCTGCACGACGTTCGCCGTGCCCTGCCAACCACACGGCCGTTTCAAATTGATACATCCTCTTGTGTGATCGATCCCTAACCTGACAAAAGTTGGGCTCCTTGCCCCGAGCCGTGCCACGGGCGGACAAGGGCAGAACATCAGCGCCAGTGGCCTCTTGTCGATTCCGGCTTCATCTCCGCTTTGGGGACAGGCGGCGCTGGGGCCAGGGAGAGCCGCCGACCCCCCTCGGCTTTGGCCGCCTCGACGACGCAGGCCTTGTAGTCCACCTCGCTGGCAAAGCGCGCGAAGGCGACGTGCGGGGACTGGCACTGTGCCCAACCCTCCGTGTGGCAGGCGTCGGACGCCAGCAGGTCATCCCTGTCGCTGATCTGCGAGGCCCCAACCTCCAGCAGACATGACTGCAGGTAGGTGCTCTCGTCTGCGGGCACGCTACAAGTGTCCTGGCCCCCGGCGAGCGTCTTCACGGCCGCGCTGGACAGGACCACTAGGTGCCCCCTCAGCTCCTGCTCGCAGGAGCTAAGGAAAGACGCCGCCTTCGCATCAAGGCTGTCCTTGACTAACGGCTGCCCTGGCCGCCGTCGGTCTTTGCCAGCCAGTGCTAGGCGCAACCTGTCTGGGAAGAAGACCGATCCTGGATCCACCATGACTGTCCAATCGAAACGACCGTAACGGCCTTCAGTGGCCACGTGCGTCCACAATTCCTTGTAAACCGAAGCGCCTACCAGCTCGTCTCCGTCTGGGCAGCCCAGGTCCAGGGAGAACACCTCGGCTGTGACGCCTCTGCCGAGGTCGGCGGCGGTGTCGCCGTAGACGGCGAAGGCGTCGCAGCCGAATATGCTGTAGTTGAGGTCCACCTGCATTCTAAGCAGCTCGGTGTTTGCACCGCACGGCAGCAGGACGGACAAGCAGAAGAGCGTGTACGGCCCACCTCGGTCGTGGGTTTCGCCGGTGGTGTTCCTCCGGCGGACCCAGCACCTCGGCAGGTGCCCGTTGCGGTACTTCAGCTTGTACGGTGCGTCCGGTACATATCCGAAGTGCCAGGAAATGCAGCCGGCGTCAGCGGTGCACGCTGCGCAGCAGCCTTCCCGGCTGAGCACGTCCTCCACCTCCCGGGCGTCGGTGATGACGCTCTCGGCGGACTCGCTGCAGACGTCATCGCAGCCCACCTGCCCGTCCTCGGCGCTCGAGCCGTTCAGCTCGCCGCAGTAGGAGGCCACGGACACCTCGCGCTGGCAGGCGAGACACCTCAGCGACGAAAAACCAAGGAAAATCTAAGGCAAGCTGCGAAACAATTGAGGAACACGGAGCCCCTCCCCAACAAAAAGGGTTCCTTCTTCAGGGCCCCGACTGTAAGGGGGTGCGGGAAAGAAAGGTGCCCTCTGCGGGCCCTGCAGGCCCCCCTTTGGGGCCCTGAAGGGCCCCGTGAGGCAGCCCTCGCGGCAACCCCCTTCCTCGCCCCCCCCCCATGTGAGAGGTCTCCTAAATGGGGTCTGAATAGATGGGGTCGGAGGATCGCGCCGCATCGCCGATACATCGGCGATGCATCCGCGATGCAACGGCGATGCACCGGCGATGCATCGGCGACGTCGGCGATGCGTCGGCGCTATCACATCGAGCCGCATCCCCCATGCATCGGCGATGCGGCGCTATCCTCCGACCCCACCTGCTCCGACCCCATCTGGGCGGCCTAGACCTGTAATTACCGCGCCCCCCACGACGCCTCGCTCTTGCTTCCCGCCCCTCTAACGGGGACTCCACTGACGGGTACTTTGGCCAGTGACCTGGCGAACCCAACCCTCCCCGATGTGGGCAACGCCGGCAGCAAGAAGCCCCAGAGAGTGGCAACTTTCGGCAGCTTTCCAAAGTACCCGTTAGTAGGGGAACGAGCCGTGACATAAACAGAAAAACTCGGAGGTCCGCGCGGATTTCTCGGATCTGCGCTGGATCCCCCTCCCTGGCGCGCGGAGCGCGCCAGGGGTGGCGCCGGAGGCGCCCCCGGGGGGGGGGGGGCCTGGCGCGGATCCGAGAAATCCGCGCGGAGCGCCAAAAGTTTCTGTTTACGCAGTTGATCCTTCTTCGAGCAGCTTTGGGCAGCTTTCCAAAGCACCCGTTACCTTTCCCTAGTCAGTGCGTGCCCGCTATGGTGCCGCTGATGGCTTCCCGCCGGGTCCTCCGCCGGCGGCGCACGCGCCGCGGCTCTAGCTCCCGCCTGCCTCCGCCGGGGGCGAGAGACGCGCCGCCGAGGGGAGCCGAAGGCGAGGCCCCTCCAAAATGGTAAACAAAATGCGCCAAACATAGTCCCCAGAGTATTCTTGTAACTATTCTTGAATATTCCTCCTGTAGAGGGACGGGCCCGACTTAACACGAGGCAGGGCTGGACCTACACGGCGTCTTCCCTTGATTCGTCTTGCTTTCGTTGTCCCTCGTCTCGTCTTCGCCCCGCCTCTGCGCCAAGACGACACCGCAGCGGACACGACCCACGAGATCGCCAATGGCACCGTTTGGGCCAAGCCCCAGTACAACACATCACGACGGGAGCCTTTGGGCTGCTTTCTGCCCCTGGGGGCCCCTGCAGGCCCCAGGCCCGGCAGAACACGAGACTCGGGGGGGAGCGACGGTCTCCCCGAGGAACGGTCCAGAACCCTGGGGGCCCGCCCTGCGCAAGAATCACGACGTCGGACCTCTGGGCCTCCTGGACCCCGGCTCCCGACGTCGTGATCTTTGTCGCAACGTCAACCCCCCGAGGTCTGGACCTTTATTCCTGGGGACCGCCTCTTCATCCTGAATCGTTTCTTGACGGCTCCGAGGCCTGGCGAGTACCCCCAGAAGCTGAAAATAGCGAAGAACTTCCTGTCGCGATTTTCAGCTTCTGGGGGGAGGAGGAGGAGGAGGAGGAGGAGGAGGAGGAGGAGGAGGAGGAGGAGGAGGAGGAGGAGGAGGAGGAGGAGAGAGGAGGAGGAGGAGGAGGAGGAGGAGGAGGAGGAGGAGGAGGAGGAGGAGGAGGGAGGAGGAGGAGGGAGGAGGAGGAGGAGGAGGAGGAGGAGGGAGCGCGCCACCTGGCCCGGGGCTCCGCGCAGCACGCGCCGCTCTGCTGCGGCCGGGGCCGGCTGGCGAGGGCCGCGCCTGTGGGATATCGGGTCGGACAGGTCCTCCCTTAGTGGGCCCTGGAAACGACAGGGCCGTTTTTTTACCGGTTCCGTTTTGCCGTTTCTTTGCCGGTTCCGACGCCGTGTTTTTACTGGTTCCGTCGCCGTTTTTTGACCGGTTCCGGCTCCGGTTCCAATCCTGGAGCCGTTCTTTACCCGTTTCCGGTCGCCGTTTTTGTTGCCGTTTCCGTTTTCAAGGGGCATTTTTTCTGGAAACGGTGAAAACACGGCCCTGCCGTTTCCGGGGCCCACAAAATGTCCTCCCACAATTGAGCAGGGACCGGCCGTCCCAGCATTCCTATGGTCCTACCACGAGATGTTCTTAGAACCCCCAAACATGTTCGAATAACAAAAAAACAAGGTTCTTAGGACATAAGCCCGATGTGTGAAAACAAGACACCCCCAGCCAGAAATGTTCTAAGAACATTTCGTGGGAGCCACAACGTGTTCTTAGAACATTGTTTGGTGGGGCTATAGGCAAGCCGGGACGCTTCGCCACTGCTTGACAGGTCGGGCATGTCCTCCTACAGGCGGACCTTCGACGAAACATCAAGCAGAGCCAGAACATATTCGAAAAACTAGTCCAAGGTAACAGAAACATCGCCCCCAGACTGTTTGTTGACCATCTTTGATTGTTCCGCCTGTAGAGGGACATGTCCGGGTTAACTTCGGAAGCGGCCAAGAGGGGGGCATCCAAGAGGGGTGGGCGCAAATCATGGCCGGCGGCACGTGCGCGGCCCAGGGAGGGGCACTGGGGACGTATTGAAATAATAATGAACACCATGAAACCTGAGGAAATATCATAGCCCATGCCATGATGTCCCCCTCCCCCTAGTCATCACCCCCCTCTCCCTTTTAGACGCCCGAAATGGGCACGGAAAACATGGGTACAATGCCCAACAACAAATGTTGTCCCAAACAAACAGCGGCCGCTGTTGGGTAGGTGGCCTTCTGTCTCAAACGAACAGGCCGCGGCTGCGCGGACAGCGAGTCCTGTTCAAAATGAAAAGGAGCTGCTGTTGAGCATCGTACCCATTCATTTCGTACCCATTTCGATCGTCCCGATCCCTGATGATTGGATGCTGTATCTTTCCAGTCGCAACCGACGAAAACGGTCGCTACCGATTTTGCTTCAAATGTCGGTACCAGTTGCGACCGATTTGCTTGAAAACCGGTCGCGACCGATCGCTCGCGACCGATCGGTCGCGATCGGTGGCGACCTCGCGACCGATTTTGGGATCGGTTGCGATCGGTCGCGACCGATTTGGAGTGCCGATCGGTCGCTCCCGGTCGCGACCGAAAGAATTCGGTATCCCATGATCTGGGCTTGGCCGCCCACGATAACTGCGGGAGGGCCCCGACCGCACCGCCCCGCACCGCTCCTGGCAGAGGCTAGGCCTGGAGGAGCCCCAGAGGCTCGGCGTGCGCGCCCGGCCTGGCCTGGCCGGGAAGGCCCACGGTGCAGTCACCACCGATCGTAGGGATGCGCGGTGAGGATGCAAGAGGAGGAGGAGGGGAAGGAGGAGGAGGAGGAGGAGGAGGAGGAGGAGGAGGAGGGGGAGGAGGAGGAGGGGGAGGAGGAGGAGGAGGAGGAGGAGGAGGAGGAGGAGGTCCAGTGTAAAACTAAGAGCCATCAGCGACGTTGGAATTAACCCTCCCTCCAAGCTCCCTCTTCATAGGCCCCCACAATGGTTCATTTCCATTGAGCGAACTGCCTCGTTGGAAGACAACCGTTTGAAGATCCTGAAGCATGCGAAAGCATTGTTCTCGGGATTCAACGCCACATATCAACGTGACTGCTGCGTCTTGACGATCCGGAATCGTGCCAGAGAATTGTTTTCGGGACTCTAACACCGCGAATCAACATAGCTGTTGCACCCGCGAAAGCCTGAATCTTTGCACATTGCCATTTCTGGTACGCTGATCATGGGAATCCGTCAAACTCTTGAAACTATTTACATCTAGTGTGCGCGGCGCTGAATCGAGAACCACAATTTGAAAACGACCCGCCCTCAATCCGTGAAGTTCTTGCAAATGTTTGAAACGAATGTGCGCGTTGCGAGTCACATTCGAAACTCACCCGTCATCAATCCGTGAAGCTCCTGCACATGTTTGAAACGAATGTGCGCGGCGCTCAGGCGCGAGAGCCACATGTTGAAACTCACCCGCCCTCACTCCATGAAGCTCTTGCAAATGTTTACAAAGAATGTGCGCGGCACTAAGGCGCGAGAGCCACATTCGAAACTCACCCGTCATCAATCCGTGAAACTTTTGCAACTGTTAACAAAGAATGTGCGCGGCACTGACGCGAGAACCACATTTTGAAAACGACCCGCCCTCAATCCGTGAAGCTCTTGCAAATGTTGAAAAAGAGTGTGCGCAGCACTGAGGCGAGAGCCACATGTTGAAAACCACCCGCCCTCCATCTGCGTTATTCCCAAAGCTTCACAATCACAAATGGTGAAGAAGACTCAAACGAAATGCCCGGCCCGCCCTAAAAACTGGCCTCGGGGTGCGACAAGGAAGAGTTAGCTATAAGAAGAAGGAATGGAGGAGGAGAAGGAGGAGGAGGAAGAGGAGGATGAGGAAATGGAAATGGAAATGGGGTAGGGCGGACCAGGTCCGCTTGCCGACACAGCGGCGGCACGGAGGCTGAATAGCCTACGAGTGGCCACATTTCCGTGGCCTGGGCCTCTTGCTTGGTGCGCAAGTACTCCTTGGCCCATTCAACCGCAGAACCGGGCGAAACAAAACCGTGCAGGCGCGCAACTTGGCCCAGGTCCAGGACGGGGACAGACACCCCGTACTGGTGGAAGCTGGCGGGGCCCCAGGTACCATCGGCCACGGGGCCCAACGGGGGCCCGCCAGCGGGCCCCGACGCGACAGACCCAGCCGACGAGGATCCAACACCCAAGCTGGACCCCATCAGCTTCCCCTGCGACCACTCGATGTCAGCCTCCTCTTGGCCTCTAAACGCAGACGGCCGAGGAGGGGGAGCGGGGGCCGAGGGGTGGAGGAACCGACGAAGACGGGACCTCTGGGTCTTGAGCCCTGGGTGCCGAGGTCCCGGACAAGCCCCGGCCAGGCCTTTGCCAGGGGGAACTTTCTGGGCCAGTAAGGCCCCACAAGCCTTGCAAACAATCAAACACATGCTGTCAGGGACCCCCCCACCTCGCATTTCACCACCGAGTGCCCCTGAAACAGCCACGGCCTGCCAGGCACGACCCCCAGATCCACCACCACCTCCTCAGACGGCACGGGCTCGGGCTCCAGCGGCGGTGGGGCGGGGGGCGCTGACTTCCATCCGATATGCTCGCGGGTCCTGAGGGCTGCCTCTAGGTGCGCAGCATCGGGGTCACCCGCTGCATATTCCAGGTCAGGGGTAACTATAAAGTGCCTACCACACCCTCAATGTCCCAGGCCTCGTCGTCTCCTATCCAGGCATGGACTTGACCTATCCAGAGCACAAGCTTGCAAGCCAAATCCTCGCATGCTTCCGTGAAGGGGACCCTCTGGGGTGGGATGTTCCAGAGCTGGGCCCCCTTTTTAGCCCAACGGTCCGCTAAATCATTGCCGCGCCTGCACCAAGTGTCGTAAAACGAATCATCGCTGGACGCTCGAGCATGCGCCTTGGCTTTTTTCACCGACGCGCTGCTGCCGTGCTTCTGCCACCAGCCTTCCAAAAAATGGCGGTTGGGATTCGTGGGGCTGAGAGCTTTGGAGACGCTCCTCGCACAAACGATCGCTCCTGCAAAATCAAAGAAACCGTGAGCACCCCATCGGTGGCAGGGTCACCAGAAAACCTGGCCAACATACAGAACGCAAAATTTTCCGCATCTTTGTGGGGCTGGGTGAGGGACCAGGCAAGTGGCACAGCGCTGTACATCCCAAACCGAAGCGAACCGTCATCATTGATGCAGATCACTGACCACCCCGCACGGCGCAACCCGCCATGCTGAATACACAATGCAGATCCGTCCACAAGCATCGCCTTCGAACAGCCATCCAGGCATGCGCCCCACGCATCGGATCTGGTCCTCATCGGGGATATCAGACAGGCGCGCGCAAGCGAGGGCAACAGGCCTCGTGCGAAGAGTTCGGCATAACGCTCTCCTTCGCGCTCAGCAGCTCTAGCTGCCTCAAGCAGCTAGGCGGGCAAAATTCTCGGCGAAGGAATTCTGCAGCGGGGCAGTCGAAGCACCTAGGCCACAATGCGCCTCGGGCCCCGCATCTCGTGCAGTATGGGTGCGCAGCCTTGCCTGTCGCATGCGGTCTGGCTTGTCTCCAGTGCGCCCCACAACTAACCGATCTGAACGCATTCCTGCGCCTCTTGGTCCACGGCCCCGAGTTGCGAGACAAGACGGCCAGCGCAGGCCCCCAGTGGACCTCCGGAGCCCAAGGACCCCCGAGTCTTCTCAGAGCTGTGGCATCCGAGGCAGCGGCCGCAGCAGCGCGGACGGCCCGGCAGGCTGCCACTGGCGAGAAAAACTTCAAGTCGATCTCGCGCGGGCGATGATCGATCAGACGGTCATGCTTCACCAGCTGGCAGCCTGCACGGGCGAAGCTGAGCACTGCGGCCTGGGCTGGGCCAGTGCGCTGATTCCATGGCCGCTCCCTGCTCCGCAGCTGCAGCGCGCCCGCGTGGACCGTGCTCAGAGAGCCTCCTGCCGCAGGAACCCGCCTCGCACTCTGATGGCCCAGGCCTTGGCGACCTCCGCCGCCTTCGCCGCGAAGGGGCCCCTGGAGATCGCACGCTGCCTGGTGCGCACCCTGAAGGCAAGGCAAGTCCCTGCCGCCAGCCTGCCCTCGGAGCGGAGCGCGTGCACCCGCAGGCCGCTCCGCTTGCCGTCCGCGAGCCCAGCGACGGCATGAGCCCCAGACCGCCGCGGCGCCTGGGGAGCCTTGGCGCCGGTGGCAGGCCTTCGCCCCCGAAGCTTGGCCGCCGCGCGGCTCGCCTTGGCCAGCCGCTTGTCCTGCTCTGGCGCGCGGCGCCTGCTGCCATCGCTGCCGTCGCCGCCGAGGCACCTCATGCCCGTGTGCCTGGTCAGCCCCGGCCTGGCCCAATGCGGATCCAGCTCCCTGGCCAGCTCCGCGTCGGTGACCATCCAGCCCGTCTTGCCCCAGTTGATCTTGCGGCGCCTCTTTGAAAACCCCAGGAAGAGGTCGTGGTCGGCCTGCGGCCGCTGGCGTCCTACCAAGCGCGCCGTGCCGACGGCCTGGAGGAGGCTGTCGTCCACCAGGCTCTGTGCTCTCACGGGCGGGTACCTGGAGACGATGCCGCGCAGCAGCGTGTACGTCAGCAGCTTCGCCGCGCCAGCCGCGCACGAGCAGCCTGCCGCTGTGGTGCCGTTGGCCTCGATCGTCGGCCCCGCTCCCTTGCCGAGTGTCGCCTTGCGGGGGAGGCGGTAGCTGGAGCATCGGGCCCTGAAGGGCACCATCGGGCAGTCTCGACCGCCTGGTCGTGGAGCTCTTCGTGGCTGATGGGCTCGTAGTACTCCGTGAGGTCGACCGCCAGCGTGCTGGATACCATGCCTGTCTTCTTCGCGAAGACCGTCATCACGTTGTGCGCAAAGCCCGCCTTCTCGCAGGAGCGGTCTGCCGTTCCCCAGAGGAAGGACTGGTCGATTCTGTGCTCCCACTCGGCAGCGATGGACGGCCACAGCTTGGACCACACCCGCGTCCAGAGGTTCGCCAGGACGATTGGCCTCACCCCTCCAGGCGGGGGCTTGGGAAGAAAAAGCGACTAGTAGCAGCCACAACTGACAACGTGCCGGGCTCCTTTCCTACGCAGGCACTATGTCCAAGCACGCCTCGTGGTAGTGGGGCGGAAGCCAGCGCAGCTGCCGCGGATGCAAGCGGTCCCATCCAAGGCCTGTGCCCTCGCCGTACGAGGCCAGCACATGGTCGAGGGCGTCCATGGTGATGGGCGGGAGGTCATTCCACACGCCATGGGCACCAGGCTTCCACTGCAAGGGGTCTGTGTCCCCTGCCGGTTCAGGATGGATCTACAGCGCTCCCCACTCCTGCATCGGCACCTTCATGGCAGCGTCGCCTGCGACAGGTAGGCCAGGGTCGTGCTCGTCGTCTCCATGCGCCACCACCGTCGATGGGACTAGGCTGCCATCCTTGATGAAGCGGTAAGCACGCTGGCCCGCAGACTTGGTGGCCACTGCCTGCGCCCACCCCCTCCATTCCTTACTGCGCTTGCGTTTGTCACGCGCCTGGAGGGTCGCCGTGCAGTTGTGGAGGTCCACTGGCAGCCCGTGGTGCACGTGCAGCTCCTGCCTCCCGAAGGCGTTCGCCGTGGCGTGGTGGTCCCAGTGCGCCAGGGCGCCGTCCGACGGCCAGTCATGGCCGCTGAAGTTGAAACCCCTGATGGCACGCACCTGGCGCTCGAAGCGGGCGAACCTCCGCCAGCCCATGTCTTCCTTGTGGCCCCGCAGGGCGGCCGCCTTCCTGTAGGCCGCCAAGGAGCCTGCCCACTTGCGGTACTCCGCGCTCGTCGTCTCCTGCAGCGAGGTCTCCCACTCGAGCACTAGCGGAATCGTCTCGACCTGGAGCCCCTGGTCCCTGGCCCCCTTGCAGCGCCGCGGCGGCCTGTCCAGCTGGTGCAGCCTGTCGAGGTAGTCCTCCGCCATGGCGTACCAGAACTTCGAGGCACCCTCGACGTCCCCTGGCCCACTCCTTCCAGCTGCCACGGCCACTCCGCCTCGGCGACCTCGGGCGGGGCGGCCTGGGCAGGAGGCGGCAGGGCTTAGCGGGTAGCGGCCGGGGAAGACCGCCCTGGTCACCGTGGCCCGCCTGTGCAGGCCCTTCAGCCCGATGGTGGTGGGCGAGTGCGGCGCGAGCGGGGCGTCACTCAGCACGTTCGAAGTGCCAACGCGGCTGGCGGGGGCCTTCGATGAGGAGGAGGAGGAGGAGGAGGAGGAGGAGGAGGAGGAGGAGCGTGCATGTTCCACCTCTTCGAGGGGGGCTGGCCATCGAGAGTGGTGAAGGATGGACCGAAGAGGCAAGGATGCCCTTGGGACGTTAGGACGGCTGCCCATCCTTACCATCAGTGTCGACTGTGCTCCGAGGATGGGCCATGGATTTTCCTGGTCAGGATCGGTGCAGGTGTATGAGGAAGGCTCGTGCCAAGACGACCTCGGCGTTGGCCTTGACAGTGTGTGGGTCGTCCCACCTTGAGCGCTCGCGGCTTCCCGATAGCACGGATCGTTGGCTGTCGACGTATTCTGGGCCAATGGCGGCGGTCAACCTTGAACGCCTGCGCTCGGGTCACCGCCGCGTCGACTCGACCTCAGAGGTCCGGTGCCTTTATCCTTTCAAACCGGGGCCCCCGGAAGTCCAGACTTCGGTCGGGCGTGTCCTCCTACAGGGGGATTTTGGACGAAAGTTTCAAAGTGGTCCAAGAATACCCCAGCATGGTCAAAAACTACTTCAGAAAATCGCCCCCCGACTACTGGTGGACCATTTTTGAATATTCCTTCTGTAGAGGGACCGGACCAACAATTTTTAAAACATGACCCAGAGATGCCCCAACATGGTCAGTAGCTCCTCCAAAACATCGCCCCCCCGACTACTTGTGGACCATTTCTGGATATTCCTTCTGTAGAGGGACTGGACCAACAATTTTTAAAACATGACCCCGAAATGCCCCAACATGGTCAATAACTCCTCCAAAAAATCGCCCCCCCCGACTACTTGTGGACTATTTCTGGATATTCCTTCTGTAGAGGGGCAGGCCAGACTTAAAGTCCAGACCCCCTCTGCGGGGCGGGCCTTTCCATCCCGAGTCGCTCTTTGACTCAGGAGGGAAAGAAGCACACAGACACAATGAATCGTCGATTCCCCAGAGAATATGGGAAAATATGGGAAGTGGGGGGGGGAAGACAGAAACCGAGAAAACATGGGAAGATAGGCCGCACGCGGCCAAAAAACCTCCGCACGGGTGCCTCTCCCGAAAATCTGGATGCCGTGGGGCACGAACCTGTATGAAGGGGCCCCAGGACACACAAAGAAATACACACACATAAAAGGATTCCCCATATTTTCCTATACTTTCAGGGTCTCTGTCTTTGGCCCGGACGTTGCCATCGCCACATGACCACTGTCTTCGTGGCCGCTGACAAAAAAACAGGGTTTCTGTTTTCCCCCCCCCCACTTTCCATATTTCCCCATATTTTCTGGGGGATCGACGATTAATTGTGTCTGTGTGTTTTTTCTCCTCCTGAACGAACCTATACCTCGGAGCAGGGCAATGTATGACACCGGCAACTCAAAACCGATCCCCGGGCACCCCCTTCCGCACCAGCCAGTCTTCCGAGCTGCGTCCAGCCGTGGCGAAGAGGGCCCCCCCCCGGAAAACCCAACCACCGTTGTCGCAGCTTGCCCTCCTCTGACTACCATAGCTGTAGAGGCCTCCTCAATGGGGTCCGAGTAGATGGGGTCGGAGCATCGCGGAGCATCGCCAATTCATCGCCAATGCATCGGCGATGCGCTGGCGATGCATCGGCGACGTCGGCGATGCATCGGCGCCATCAGCATATGAAATTCTGGCTCCACATCGACCGTGTCTACTCGGATCCCCTTCCCAGACAGACATGCGATGTCTTGATTTTTTCCATCGCGCGGCTCCAGTCCCGACGTTTACCCCGGGACCCGCTCTGCACCCCGAGCCGCCGCTTCACGGCGCAAGGGGGGCCGGCGAGGACGCGCCCCCGGAGGTGGAAGCTATAGCACAATACCTCCTGCCATGATTTCTTCAATCGGGTCGGGCGAAAGGGGGGGATAGCACAGGGGGGGTTTGAAAATCAGCTCACCAAGCTGATTTTCCTGGCGCCTCCCGGCGCCGGAGGCGGCTATGTATCGAGGAATGGGCCCCTCGGTGAGGCCGAAACCAGCTGCATGCAGCAAATTTCGTAACCCCCCCTTTCCCAATCCCCCCCTTTCGCCCGGCCCGATTCAAGGCGCGAGACCGTCTGGGCTTGGGGGCCCAACAAGACTCGCCAAAACAAAAATTGTCGGTTTTGGTTCTCGGTGCCTGCATGGTCGGCGCGACTTTCATGCTGGCGTGAGGTTTTCGGCCCAGACGCGGGGGTGTCCGAAATCCGGCGGCACCCACACTGCATCGAAGAACGCGTTTTTTTTGACAAGTCCCCGAACTATCGAGCGCCTCGATTCTGAACAGCGTTTCGATTCATTTTGACGAGGTTTGTAGATAGAGGCCTTCTAGATGGAGTCGGAGTAGATGGGGTCGGAGGATCGCACCGCATCGCCGATACATCGGCAATACATCGCCGATGCACCCGCGATGCATCGTCGACGCGGGCGATGCGTCGGCGACGCCGTGCAGCAAATCGGGCGCTGTATCGAGCCGCATCGGCGATGCATCGGCGATTCGGCGCGATCCTCCGACCCCATCTACTCGGACCCCATCGGGGAGGCCCAAGGAGTAGAAGGTGGCGCCCTCCGAGCGCCAGCAATCCCCGTGAGCGCGACGGCCGCGGCGGCAATCCCGGCCAGGAGCCACCACTGGGCGCCGAGGGCCAGCCCAGAGCCCCGGCTGGGCCCGCGGCGCTGCGCCGCCTCCTGTGGAGCAGGCTGCCCTCCCGCAGGCCTCCAACGGCTGGAGAAACTCGATGCGTTTCTTGTTTATTGTTGTTGTTTCGTTTGATTTGTTGTTGCTGTCGTTTGTTTGTTTGTTTGTTTGTTTGTTTGTTTGTGTGTGTGTGTTTGCCTATTTTTTGTTGTTCGTTTGTTTGTTTGTTTGTTTGTGTGTGCGTGGTTGTTTTTGTTGGTGTTGTCTTGTTGCGCCCCCCGTTTGTTCCATGTGCTTTCGTTGTTTGGCTCCGTGGTTGCTTGTTTTTTTGTTTCTGTTTTGCTGAGTTCTCAGTTATGATCGATAACTGTTGTTGATCCCCTCCCTCCAGTGACCATTGTATTTGTTCAAGTGGGGTGCCCCTTATGGGGCTCGCACCCTGCTTTTTAGTAGGGAAAGCCTGGTGTCACCAAACTGTGTCGTTGGCCCCCGGCTTGCAACAACAGCGGCTCCCGTCTGACACTTCCTCACAATGTACTCGAATACCCGCACTCACGCGCGAGACTCCCTCATAGTTAATGCAGAGATCGCGCTCTCGCGTGGATTGTGGCGCCGTGCCCACAACACTCAAGAATCACGCGCCCGCAATGGACCTCCTCATGATTTACCCGGAAATCGCGCGATCGCTCGAAACTTCCTTGCGATTCATATTGGATTGACGCTGCAACGTCGACCCGGTCATCTGGGCCTGCCCGCCCGACCTGTCCGTTAGGGTCCGCCCGCCCGACCCGCCCGTCTGGTTCTGTTGCTTGTACTCATGCTCCGAACCCCCCTCCTGCAACTCTCTCCCGCGTTCCATCCTCCTCTCTCCCTCTTGTCTCTGCCCTCCTTCCTTCCTTCCTCATTTTCTTGGTAGGGGTTCCGCCATCTACACGTGATAGAGAAGGAAGGTATACCCTGAAAGGGGGTACGATCTAAGACGAAGAAGGCGGGTATCGAGGGTTTGGTATATTCATGCTGCATGACACGCGAGCCAATAAGAACGATTCGTCTTAAAATGCTTGTTGTTGTTGATGCTGCTGTTGCTGTTGCCGTTGCTGTTGCGGTTGCTGTTGTTGTTGATGTTGTTGTTATTGTTGTTGAGTTCGTTGATGCTGTTGTTGGTGTAGTTCTTGTTGTTACTAGTGTGGTTATGATTACTGTTGTAGTTGTCGTCGTTGTTGCTATTGTCGTCGTTGTTGCTATTGTTTGTTGTTGCTACTGTTGTTGGTAATGTTGTTGTTGTTGTTGTGGTTGTTGATGTTGTTATTGTTGATGTTGTTGCCGTTGTCGTTGTCGTTGTCGTTGTCGTTGTCGTTGCTGTTATTGTTGTCGTTGTTGTTGTTGTTGTTGTTGAACATCCACTTCTAGAACATCATGATTGCTGATCTCCGGAAACGGTTCAACGCGCTCTAGCCTCGACGCCGGCTACATTTTCTCTGAAATCGAGGCTCCCGCTCGAACACTGGCTTGATAGAACATGTGTGTCTTTGCAGGCCCGGCTACAACGACAACGGCTCCCGCTCGATACTTCCTCACAAATTACTCGGAGACACCCTGGCCAGAGAGGGCCCCGAACTCAGAAACGGCGCTTCGCAATTCAATCAAGTTGGCGGAGGCCCAGGCAGGACGACAAGTGCTCCCGCACGATAATTCCTCACAGTATCGGAGGTTGCAGGGTGATATCGCAGTGGAACGGAAACCCCCAACCGGGAAATCGTTTCGTTTCGTTCGTGTCGTGCGTGCGGGCAAGGCGAAGCTGCGTGGGCGCGCGGGAGGAATGAACCCGCCGTTGCTAGGGCGAAGTCAAGACAAATGTTGCTACAAATGTTGCTCACCCGTCCGTCCGTCCGTCTGTCCGTCCGGCGGTGGCCCTAGCGGTGTCCCGCGGTGTCCCGTGGTGTCCCATGGTGTCCGCCGCTGCTAAGGCGAAGTCAAGACAAATGTTTCGCTCCAGTCCAGCGATGGCTCGCGGTGTCCCACGGTGTCCGCCGCTGCTAGGGCGAAGTCAAGACACATGATTCTCCCCCGCCCGCCCGCCCGTCCGTCCGTCTGGCGGTGGCTCGCGGTGCCCCTCGGTGTCCCGTTGATTGAGATCGATAGTGAGATTGATCGTGAGATCGATGAAGAGATCGAAAGTGAGATCGATAGTGGTATCGATACTGCGATCGATGTGGTGCCCCGAGGCGTCCCGTGGTGTCCCAAACAAAGAAAATCGATAGTGAGATCGATAGTGAGATCGACAAGTTTCCCGTGGTGTCCCGTTGAGTGAGGTCGATCGTGATATCGATTAGTGATATCGATGTTGAGATCGATGTGGTGCCCCGAGGTGTTCCGTGGTGTCCCGTGTTGTCCCAAACCGTGAAATCGACAGTGAGATCGATAGTGGGATCGACAGGTGTCCCGTGGTGTCTTGTTGACTGACGTCGGTAGTGATATCGATAGTGAGATCGATGTGGTGCCCCGGGGTGTCCCGTGGTGTCCAAAAAGAGAAATCTATAGTGATATCGACACCGATAATGAGATCGAGAGGTGCCCCGCGGTGTCCCATGGTGTCCGGTGGTGTCCCGTTGAATGAGATCGATAGTGAGCTCGATAGTGAGATCGACAAGTTCCCGTGGTGTGCCATTGAGAGAGATAGATAATGATATCGATCGAGTCAGATGTTGGTTCCCCCCCCCCTCTCCCCCCCACAACCTCCTCATCACCCGAAGGGTGGTCGTATAGGTATCCCGAGACACCCCGGTCACAGAGGGCCTCGAACTCAAGAGCGGCGCTCTTGCTTGAGACTTCTTCGCGATTTAATCAAGTTGGCGGAAGCCCAGCCATGACGACAAAGGCTCCCGCTCGCACGACTTACTCCGGAAACCCCAGGCCAGGCAGGCCTCCGAACTCACGACCGGCGCTCTCGCTCCAGAGTTTCTTGTATTTCAAACCAATTGGTGGAGGCCCAGACACGGTGACAAAGGTTCCCGCTTGATCCTTCCCAAGATGTAATCCGAGAGCCCTGGCCAGAGAGGCTCTCGAACTCAGGAGCGGCGTTTTCTCTCGAGACATCCTCGCGATTTATGCAGGACGCACGCTTCAGCAATCCGCCTGCTCGACCTGGCCGCCTGGGCCCGCCTTCCCGATACGCACGCTAGGGTCTGCCCGCCCGATCTGCCCGTCTGGTTCTGCCACGTGCTTTCTGCTCCAAACCCCACTCCTGCTACCCTCTCTCGTGCTCTACTCTCGTCCCCCCCCCCTTGTCCCTTCCTTCCATCCGACTTCTATTCCCCTACTTTTGGCTGCACGTAATGCACGCTGCAGGTAAGAGAAACACACTCCCAAGGGGGTACAATAGAAGACGAAGGGGGCTGGTACTGAGCATTTGGGGTATACGTTTTGAGCGGCACGCGAGCAGATAAGAGCGAACAGTCTTAACATGATCGTTGTTGTTGAACATTATTAATTCTAAAGAATAATTATTGTTGGGACCCCTGGTGCACGGCCCCCCCGCCGCGCCTAGGCCGCAGCTACATTTTCATCATTTTTTCGCGAAAGCTTCAGAAAAGTGGATGGGGTCCAGATCCGGTTGTTTTGTTCCCCCCCGCTTTCCCTTGCAAAAAACAATATAAAATGACATTTCTCTTCTAATATAATCAAATTTCAATAATCCCTTGCAAAAAATAAGGTAAAGTGGACATTCGCGCGCGCAAGACGAAATCCTTCCAAAACCTTAGTTTCGTAGCGATTTTAACATAAAAACATCAAAAAACCAATGGTTTTTCAAAAAAAAATGTCAAAATTTCATCCCGCGCGCTCTTGCGGATTCGTAGGAAACCCAACACTTTTTAAACATTTCTGTCAAACGGGCTTTTGCGAGCAACTTTTTCGAACTTCTGCAACAACGGTTGCGCACCTGCCAGGGCCATCATCCCTGTCAAATAATACCATGCGGGACACATTCGTTTTTTCTTCGCGCGCGCACGCCGTCGTCGTCGGCCGCGGGGCCCTGAATAGTAGCCACGGTCGTCCGCATGCCACGAAGTGAAGTGTCCGAACGTCATAGGGCGGGAAGCTGGGTGTGGGTGGTGGCGAAGAGTCGTTTGGAAATTTGGTAGAGCTTGAACCGGCCCCCCCACAAAGTGGGGGTATTGCCCGCCTCCTATGAAAACCCTGGCACTGGTGAGAACGGAGTGTCCCCACGTGCTAGTAATTGTTGTTGTTGTTGTTGTTGTTGTTGTTGTTGTTGTTGTTGTTGTTGTTGTTGTTGTTGTTGTTGTTGTCGTTATCGTGGTTGTTGGTGCTGAACTATCATTCTTGAAGAATGATGTTGATTGATCCCCCGGCCGGTGCACATTGTGTTTTTCAATGAAAGTGCCCCTCCCTCGGGGCTCGCACCCTGTTTTCTTTGAACAGGGAAAACCTTCCTGTTCAAACTGCGCGGTTGGGTCCCGAACTACAACAACAACGGCTCCCGCCGGATACTTCCTCACTATGTATTGACAAATCGCGCTCTTGCGCGGGACTTCCTCACAACTCATGCAGGAATCGCGCTCTCGCGTGGGACTTCTTCGCCATGGGTTCAAACGCCGCGCCCCCGACACTCAGGAATCACGCTCTCGCTTTAGCCTTTCTCGCGATTTACCTGGGCATCGCGGTCTGGCTCAAGATTTCCTGGCGATTGATGCAGGACTCAAGCTTCAGCAATCCGCCTGCTCGACCTGGCCGCTTGGGCCCGCCTTCCCGACCCGCCAGCTAAAGTCTGCCCGCCCGACCCGCCCGTCTGGTTTAACCACGTGTTTTCTGTTCCTAGCCCCCATCCTGCTAATCTCTCCCGTGCTCCATCCTTCCCCCTCCCCTTTTTATCCGTCCTCCCTCACTTCGTTTTAGGGCATGCACGCAATGCGCGAGGCAGGTAAGGAAGATCTACCCCCAAGGGGGTACGATCGAAGACGAAAAGGGCGTGTATCGAGGGTTTGGGATATACGTGTTGAATGACATGCGAGCAAATCTGAGCGGAAAGCCT